AAATGGCTAAGACATCATGCAAATCCATAAAACTCAAATATGTATAAAACCATCATAATACATATCGAGTGAATTAAAACATGTGTCCTGTGTGACAGTGTCACATAGTCCCCACTTAGCCTAAAGCCGGATAGGAGGAAACGTCAGGGGGGCTGGGTGCAACATAACCCTGGGCCTCCAATCCTAGGACATCCAGGCTGGTATCAGATTCCACGTCTCTCTAGTGTTCCAGTAGATTCCTCCGGCAGACTAGTGCCTCTGTGGGAGGGCCTAGTTTTATTTAATTTATTACAAAGTCATTTTAAGACTTTTTTGGAGGATACCCATTACATGGACTATGGCTGACAGTACCTTTAAAGGACTAGTTTTTCCCCGGGAGCCGTAGGCCGGAGTTTTATTCTGACTCACCTTTCCAGACACAAGCATTTGGACTATCACTTGGATTGTATATACACTGTTGGACACTTGCGTTTGGGACAATCAACACATTGGAACTCATTCGGAGTGTTTTAGGTTATGGACTCTATGCTTTTCACAGCCTGAGGTTTCCTTGTTTTATTGTGTTGTTTTAAGTCTCATGTGAATATTGTCTGGAACTCATTCGGAGTGTTTTAGGTTATGGTGTTATGGACTCTATGCTTTTCACAGCCTGAGGTTTCCTTGTTTTATTGTGTTGTTTTAAGTCTCATGTGAATATTGTATATACACATTTGATTTTCATTTTAAAATTGTTGTCTGTCTCATCTTTTTAAACACTCCAAACTCTCACACAGTATAATCTTACCCCATTTTAATTGATGTAAATTCGACAGATAGGGCCGAACGTTACAAATGTACAGTATTAAAGACAGATATTCATACTGAGATCTACAAGAAATGGTGGATGAAGACAAGGTAACCTGAATGTAAATACTGGTGGATAAGCATTCACAATTAAATATCCAATATCTGCTGATTTATATGTACAATGCTTACTGATAAATAAATAAAAAATCACTAATATCAGCTGAGGATTATTGTGGTACCAATATATAGTGCATCCCTAAATCTCAGCATCCCATGAACCTCACAAACGTTTCATGCAAATTGAGTTCTTCCTCTGAAGTGTTCATTGAAGCAACCTTGTAAACAGATTAGAGCTTGTAAGCTTTTGCCACATTTTGAGACGGTTCATGTTTCATGTTTGTCATCTGAAGTCTCACATCTGAAACTTAAATGATTAAACCTGGCCGCTCATAATTTGTTTTATTTCAACCAGTCATGGTGTGTTTATGGAGCATTAGTATGCACTTTGAACACTTTGAATTATTGATTCCAGTTGAAATCATACTGAGGTGATGGATTTCTCACAGGAGATCTTTGAATTACTGCCTAGAGCCAGGAATGTTTGAAAGAATCTTCATCACTATTCCACAGCCGTTATTATCATAAACCACCTCAAGACAGCGAGAGCTGTGCATGAAAGTCTTATTGCGTTCAAAAGTAGAATCTTATTTGGCCATTTCTCCAATATTACCATGCATACTGTATGCATGCCTCAGAGGTTTGTTTGGTAAGGTGTGATTTGGTTCTTGATCTCTGAGTCTGGATGGCCTGTGTTCTGTGTGCAGACGTGAGTGAGTCCCGGTGGGCAGCTCGCATTGGCTGTTTAAAATATAAATGAATCGATCTCAACATTGGCTCACTTCAGAATGGGAGGAGCACCTCCTCTCCCCTTCTCTCTCTCTCTCTCTCTGTGTGTCTCCCCCAGACTCTACCAGTCACTGACGTGTTGCTTCCAGGGAAACTATCGCTCTGTATCCAAACACTCCAGCGAGTGATGCAGGAGAGAGCAGCGCCGCTCGTGTCTTGAATGCAGGGACATTTGTGTGCTGTTCTGCTTTGCTCGTCTGTTCGTTTTCACTCTTTTCCTTTTGCGTGGCTCTCCGCCACCTCCTCACACGTCCCTCCTGTCGTGCGGGCTCCAGATCAAGCTCGCTCTCCTCTCTTGTGCCGTGTGCGTGTGAAAGAGCTTTAATCGGAGGAGATGATCGGGGTAAACAGCGTTCAGGGGACCGGGAAGGTCCGCATGCGGGCCGGCGGCTCCATCAAGTACGGCAGGGAGGAGCCGGTCAGGCGTCAGCCCCAGCACCGCTCCAAGTCTCTCAAAGTGTCCAGTTCTGCTGAATTCAACACTGCACTGCCCAAAAAGGAGAAGGTAATGAGCCTGACATTTGCTGTGGTGTTTGTGTGCCTGGAATGGAGATGATTTCTTTGGCATTGTGGTGCTGTATTAACAATAATCTGTCGTTATTGGACGTCATTGCTGACATGCTGCTGTTATCTCGCATGCAGACTAAAGCTCTTCATATAACCCTGTTATTAAGTGCTGCTTTGGTGTTGCGCCTGCAGCACTGGGCGCAATACTTGCACTCAACAAAATGCTGCATCTCCCTCTGGAGGAGACGTGTCTGTGTCCTTCCACTGGATCTATGTCTTTACCTGAAGCTGACAGGCAGCAGTTTGCTGCTTTAAGTGATGGATGGTTTAATAACGGCTTTTTTGTCAGTTGTGCCAGTTATTGAATGAAATGCATGCTGTTGTTAACATCTGTTATTGTGATGGCATTAACGTGTCACCTTGACCCGGGGTAGCGGTGTCTGTCTGTTTTATTGGCCACTGTGTTTGATTTATGATTCACAGACATTGTTTATGCCAGCGTTGTAGCCTCTCCGGTGTAACTCGCTCCCTCTTTCACACCCGTGTGTTTTCTGTTGTGCCGTAAACACGTCGCTGTAATGTGTCTGTGTCCAGCGGGTGGCATCCACGGACACACATCTCATGTGAGAGGAACATGGCTTTGTGTTTGGACACATATGAACACTGAAACTTCTCACTTTGAGTCAACTAAAATGGGAAAATTACTACACACACATGCAGTGAACGGCAGTGGATACTTGTGAAATGTTTTTTTTTTTGCATTAGTTGCATTTGAAGGAAACTGATGATTTAGCTGGATTTAGAGGCTCAAGTGATATTAGTTTGAATATGAATATGAGGGGGCGATGACATAGGAAACAAGCATGAACCGGGACTCAGACAAAGCACAACTATATGTTGGAGCGCTGCCCACGAGGCTATTGACTCCAACTGATTATTTTTTTAGAATGTGTGGTTTACATCACAACCTATTTTTACATCACATGTACATCACTGTTTTTTGTCAGTAATTTTAAGTTGAATTTAATTTCTGTGTAACTAGCATCATTAAATAGAAAGACAAAATAATGTTTTCAATTCCGTTAGTGCTGTTGGTCATTCAAACAGATAGTTTTGCCCCAAACTCACAGCATCGGGTCAGTAGTTGACATGTTGTGCCTCTTAATCAACATACTGGATCAGTGTTTTGAAGCACCACATCGTTTACACTCTTCAGGAAATCAGTCTACTTATTTTTATCATTTTAAATATCAAATATAACTTTTGTATTCATGTTTACTAATTACTATTTTGCCTATAGATTCTTATTTAAAGTCCCTCACAGTGCAGTATACACTATCCTTTGACACTTAAAACATTCCAGTTACCAGGCTAGATTATTAGTCACTAGGCCACATGCCCATCACCTTTTGACATACAGCAACAGAACAACACAGCAAATTCTGATAGATGCTTACATGCTTAAAGAGATTTCATGTTATCACAAATTACTAAGAAGCCTATCAAAAACTCTTGGTCTCTTGGTTCCAATTTAAAAACCTCAGCAAAAACTAATACTATTGAACACACTCCATTTAAAAAGTGAAATAAAAATATTAACAAATGTAATTAAAACAATGGAATGTAGCTTCAAGTGTTTGTTAGTGACGTAAACGCTGCTTCAGATTTGTCATGTAATTATGCAAATAAACATCATAGAGAACAAGGAAATAAATTATGTTCTCTGCAGAATGTTCTCTGTTTCTTGCCAGGTTTATTGTTTGATTAATGTTAGAAGACACATCACAGATTTTGCCTGGCGGTTTATGTTTATCCAAGACATACTGTAACTAGCTGGCTTGGCACTGAAATCACGCCACGACGGGCATTTTGACCAAGAAGTGCATTCGATCGTTCACATGCACACCTAGTGTACACAGATCACGTTCAAAAGCAGCCATCTGTCAGTCAGAAAGCACAGACTGGTATCATGACTTTTCTCATATTTGTATTGACACAAATGAGTGTGTTGCAGACCACAAGCATACGGGCCGTGACCCATCGTGTGTCATGCAGCAGCTTCACGTAACATCAGCTGACGTGTGTTTAGTGTTATGAGACGGTGACTGTTATGAGATATCAGCCGCTTGAGTGTCTGCCGTGGGTCACATCAGTGTTACTGTGACGTTGCTTCATGTGAAATGTGTATCAGATGACAGCTGAGAGTTTGCCTGTCTATTTTATCTTGCACGCTCATCAATGTAGTGAAGCCCTTTTTGTCATTTGACACTTGCGCGGATGTATATTGTGCTTCTGAACATTTGCATGTGGTCTGAAGAAGTATTTATGTGTCCTAATATTCATGCTAACAAATGAAATTTCTGCAGCATTTTGATGTTTGGTTTGACCTTTCGCTCATACTTCACCCGGGAATCTTGTCGTGCATTTGCATAAATGGTGCAAATAAATTGTGTGACATTTTGACAATGAATTTTACTGATGGCACTGCATCAGAAAGCTTCATTAGTCCAGAAGAGACAGCGTTTCATCATAACTGATGATTCTACGGTGACTGACTTCATAATAACTCAGTGAGATGGATTATTAAATAAAAGAGCACAAGCACCAATCTAATACGTTTTCCACAGCGATGAAATTACAGTTGCACGGATCACACGTACCATGGGACAGACCTCACATTTGAAGAACAGTTATTTAAGGAGGTTAAATGAATAAATTGTACTTCAGGTGAATATGAATTCTATTAAACTGAATGCATACCATACTAAGCCTTTGTCTTTGTTCTGTTTTTTCCCATGCAGTCGTTGTATAACTCCATCAAGAATGAGAAACTGGAATGGGCAGTGTAAGTACTTACACATTCACCACCATCATTGCTCTTTTTTAGAACAGAAATAAAAAGAATAAACTGGAAATTCTAGAGAAAAAGCATTGAATTAGGATGCAGGCTGGTTTCAAGCCGGCATTCCCAAGAGCACATGCAATATTCACTGCCCCACAGATCATACACCACCACCTTTGTGAAGCATCACGTTTCTTTTCCATCTTTACAAGGGGGGAAAAATGATGGTTTTATTTTTATCTTTATCATCACTGGCTCTGGTTCCCACTACACACAAATACACAATAAACACATGGTCCAATTAAGGTCCAAAAAGTGTGTGTGATGGTGTGCCTTTGAGTCAAATTATTAGATTGGTGGCATTTGAGACATGAGCTGTAATTATGATCTTGAGAACATGACATTAGACTGACAGTGTGCTTCACTGATAACAGTCATAGAGGCAGACACCGTCCCATTGTGTCAAATTACAGCAAGCCCTCGCCAACTCTCTGCACCAACCGCAAACCACATCTGAACCTCAAGCTAATCTCTTGCTGTAACATGTAGGATACAGTAGTTATTTGCAGATTAAATATTAATTAATATCATGTTTGAATATATTCTGTTGATTAAAGCAATAAGAACCCATGGATTACATAGATTTTAGAACAGCTAATAGCCGCACGACATGTAGCATCACTGATCCCTGAATGATTTAAAGGAGCGCCCTGGGTAAATGCAATTTAGGCTTTGTTAAAGAGTTTATGGCAATATGTCACAGAAAATATATATTTTTAAACAATATTTTTTTTGGCAACTTGTGGTTGTAAAAGTAACAAAATAAACATTAAAACACACTGTTTTGAACATACTGTATAAACACAAGGCTTTCATATACATATATGACTGCAGTAATATTGCTGTAATCAACGTTATGCCAAAATTATGCCGAGATGAATTTGTGTTGAGCTTGGAATATTTCTTTAACTCAAAGTAGATGTAATGAGGTCACAGGTGTGTGTTTATAAAGTATTTTACAATGGCTTTGAATGCAATTTGATAAATTCACTGTCCAGCCAGATCACGTCAAATATTTTCCACTTATAATACAAAATGTATTTCAAGCAGGTGTAGAGATTTTAAAATTTGGCACATTGTTTGGGAATGGTCTGAACATTTTTGGTTTTGTTCAACCCTTGCTCTTGAGCTTTTGAACTGTGTGGTCTAGATTCTGTTTTGCAGTGATTCCTTGGATTTAAACAAAAATCCCCAAAAGAAATTTATTCACAAATGTTCTTTAGTGAAAACCTAGCAGAGGTTACAGATTGGATTTTAGATTTTCAAAATCTCAGAAATGACCTCAAGTACAGAAAGCGAAGCTCTGCTTAACAATGCTTTAAGCATATTGAAATGGTACTTGGTATATGTCATTGCCATCTTACCCTGAAGCTACCTGAACAGCATGGGGACAACACCACCTACTGGCCAAGAAATCTCATTAAAGATTGAAATAACGTGAGTAATTACAGCAGGCATGTCAGTCGTGAGAGTGGTCCCTTTAGATTTCTATAGCCCAATGTTCCAAGCTAATTCACTAATGAAGTCGATTGTGAAGACAAGTGCTGCTGTATCTTGGCAGTGCTTTTGCATATTAAAGTGACCTGGAACCATGCCATGAGGGCCGCTTTCTCCTTTTTCACCAAAATAGTGCCTTCTTAGAAACAGCGTAACATATTGTCACTGACTTGATAGCCGGACAGTAACATAACTGGCTACATAACCTCCTAACCAAGAGCGCTGGGGTGGAGCGATAGGATGATTTTAAGGGCTGGAACAGACGGGGCCCAAACACGGGTGTAGGAGCGCATATTGACCCAATGGAGGTTGTCTGCACATCTCACCCCACCCTCGGCCGTTCCAGTGGATCTATAAGGAGTGCAGAGGAGCCAAGAGCAATATACAGTCACAAGGCCCGTAATTCCTACTGACACCCCTGTTGCCAACAAACAAACATAGCATGCAGTCTTTGTTTACAAGTCTTATGAATTTTGAGAACATGTTTAAGCATCCAAGTCAAGTCAAGTTTATTTGTACAGCGCTTTTCACGATACAAATCATTGCAAAGCAACTTTACAGCAAATTAAGTTTCTACAATATTTAGTGGTAGCTTATCAGTGGTGACTGTCAATTAATGTACATATGGCAGAAATGTACGGAAAAATCAATTTAAGACGTAATAAAAAAGACGATGAACACTATTAACAGCAATTATAAAATAATTAAATGTGCAAAATAGCAAAATGTGGTAGTTCTGTATCTTGTTTCAGGGTTGGCATCATCTGAGGTCCTCTGAGGGGTTGGCATCATCTCTTCTCAGGTGTTCTGGATCCAGACTGAAGCTTATGTCAATCCCGTGGCAAAAACAGAGAAACAAATAGAGACATAATTAGCGTAGCTGCTGTTCCAACCAAGCAAAATTGATTTGTTTAACCCAAACTAAAGAATAATAATAATGTGCAACAGTGAGTGAGACAAAAATAATATACTCTGGTATCAAAACTCCATCTTTATCTAAATATAAAATGATAAGATATCATTTTATAAAACTATAAAATTTAAAATAAAAAGCAGCATTTTGAAGACTATTTATGTTCTATTTAATGTGGTAATAGCAAATCATTTTTATGGTATTTTGTGAATAAACAATGGCAAAACAAAAAACATCTGCCGTTATATTAAATAATGGAATGCTAATTTGAAAACAATGAATTGAATAAATTATATATCTTCCATTCTGTGCCATAGCCAATCAAGGATTACTTGAAAGGATTGTTCACCAAAAAATTACTGTCATCTACTCACCACATACTTTTTTCATACACTATCATATACCTTCAGAAGACGTGAAATATACTCTTTTTGGAGCTTGACAAGACCATGGTAAACATAAACTGTCATTGTATGGAAAAGCAGTCTGGACGTTCTGCTAAACATTCTTTTGTGTTTACCTGAAGGAAAAAAAATCATACTTGGTTTGACTGACATGGAGAGAGGAAGACAGAACTATTGTGAACTATTGTGTAAATAATTTCTTTAAATAATAAAGTCATTTTCTTTTCTTGGTTGCACAGTTAAGTAGAAATTAAAAGTTTATTTCAACACCATGGTCATTTTAAATATCGTCATATGCCATAAACAAATTACCTACAGTAAGACATTGCAAAAATACAAAAATAATGTAATTTACTCAGTGAAATTTAAATGCTTGGCTAAAGCTGTAATCTCAAAAGAGAATTCTATGTAAATAATCCTAAAGCATGCACAATCTCATGTACAAATAATATAAATATTTACATACATTCAACATGAATGCAATCTTACTCTTGGTTAAAATTAAAGCGCAATGAACTGGTGTTATGTTGTTTTGAAAAACGTCCCCAATCCAGACATTTTTAGACTGGAAAAATCTTTGTTTTGAACATTGTTTATAGATTTACAGGAATATAATTTTAGTATACCATACCTTGCCCAAAGGGGCTTTAACAAAACTAATAGATTCTGACGTATTTTCAAGATCAATCAAGATGACTGGTGTTCAAGTGGGCATTTTTGCAAAAGGTTCATTTTTAAATGGTAAAGAATCTGTGCGTCACTTTTTTTAAGGGACTGGTCCAAACGAAAACAATATTTCTGAAAGATTTTTTGCTTGACTGGTCAAGAGATGATTAATTTCTGTCTTTGTATTTGGTTTAGAGTTCATTTTAATCCACATCCAGAGGCTCCATGGGCATTGTGACCCGTCTAACCTCACACTCGATTCCAGGCCTCATTGGCGCCTCTAGTGGTGGCGTCGGTTCCTGCTCTTGCGGAGCTCTTGAACATGCTTCCATTTGCCCTTCTGTTTTTGCTTCTTCTCTTTGTGCCAGAGCGTTTCGCAGTACTCATCCAGAGAGCGCACAGGGCCGCTCAACATGCTCAAGTAGTCTTTATAGCGCTGACGGGGTTCAGTCATGGACGGAATTTCTGATGATTCCCGTATAGCAGGTTGGTGTGCGTGGATCTGTCCGCGGTCCAGGCACTGCAGTTTATCTTTTGGTGCGATGAATGAAGCATTATACGCTATAGAATCTACATTTGTTATTGTATTTCTGATGCTATCTAGTTTATCAGTGAAGAAATTCATAAAGTCATTACTATTAAACTGTGAGGGAATATTTAGATCGGGTGGTGTCTGGTTATTTGTTAATCTAGCCACTGTGCTAAATAAAAACCTTGGATTGTTTTGGTTATTTTCTATGAGTTTGTGGATATGCTCGGCCCTGGCAGCTTTTAGAGCCTGTCTATAGCTGGACATACTGTTTTTCCACGCAATTCTAAAAACTTCCAAGTTAGTTTTTCTCCATTTGCGCTCAAGACTACGAGTTTTTTTCTTGAGAGAATGGGTATTACTGTTGTACCATGGCGCAGTACGTTTTTCTCTAACCTTTTTCAATTTGATGGGGCCAACAGCTTCTAATATATTAGAGAAGATAGTGCCCATGTTGCTAGTCATTTCGTCTAGTTCATGTGTACTTATTGGTACACAGAGCAGTTGAGATAAATCAGGCAGGTTATTTGTGAATCTGTCTTTGGTGGCTGGAACAATAGCTCTGCCCGGATGATAACGCGGAGCCATATAGTTAATATCAGTAATACGCAGCATGCACAATACAAGGAAATGGTCAGTAACATCATCACTTAGAGGTACGATATCTATATCAGTAAGAACAATTCCATGCGATATAATTAAATCTAGCATATGATTAAAACGATGAGTGGGCCCGGTGACGTTTTGCTTGACTCCAAAAGAGTTTATTAGGTCAGTAAACGCAAGTCCTAATGCATCATTTGTATTATCAACGTGAATGTTAAAATCTCCGACAATTAGCGCTTTATCAACAGTAACCAATAGGTCTGAGAGGAAATCTGCAAATTCTTTTAGGAAATCTGTATATGGCCCTGGTGGTCTATACACAGTAGCCAGAGCAAGAGATACGATAGATTTCTTTTGCATATCTGACAGTGTAACATTAAGCAGAAGTATTTCGAATGAGTTAAACCTGTATCCTGTCTTCTGAGTAACATTGAGAATATCACTATATATTGTTGCAACACCGCCGCCACGACCAGTCTGACGGGGCTCATGCTTATAACAGTAGCTTGGTGGAGTAGACTCATTTAGACCAATATAATCATTAGGTTTTAGCCAGGTTTCAGTCAAGCAGAGTACATCAAAACGATTATCTGTGATCATTTCATTTACAATAACTGCTTTGGGTGAGAGTGATCTAATGTTTAGGAGCCCAAACTTTAAAAATTGTTTTTGTTCATTTATTTTACATTTTTCTGGTTTAATCACGATAAGATTTTTTCTAGATCCTGCATTAAATTTATATTTTGACCTCACTATTCGGGGAACAGACACAGTCTTTATAGATTGGACAGCACAAGTACTTCTATCATTTAAGCGGGTAGAACACAAGTCATCAGGGCAGTTATTTGAGATTTGACTTACTAGTCATATGGTGCGTAGCGTCCTGGAGTCGTTTCATTACATTTATATATATATTGTCTTGGGATAAAATGGACAGAAATCTTTCGTTTCTTTGGTGTTCAGTGTTCCAGTTATTCGGTCTTTAAACGTGAAATAGTTGTCACCTAGTGGTGCAACCAAATTTGGTGCAACTCGTTTTGGTTGCTTTGGTTAATGAGCAATTATTTGGTCTAAATCAGAGTGAACTTTACAGCATTGATTGTAAATATTAAAAGGGCATCATACCACAAAGGAAGGACATTTCAGAAGACCCTTGTCAAATAGGTTGCAAAACCACTTTGAAGGCTCTACTGCTTCTGCAAACTACAATTAACTAAAAGTGGAACTTCTTGTTAGACTTGTGTTCTGGTATGTTTGGCAAAAAACAAACACTGCGTTTCATAAGGACAGCAGTGAAGCATGTTGGTGACGGTCTGGCGATGCTTCTTCAGGAGAAGCTGAAGTCTAGTTCTAGTTTTAATTAGTCTTTCCTAATTGATTGTTATTGCCCTGAAAACTGTAGCAGTTGCCTGGTATGAGGCAAGCAGGTTTAAGGAGCCAGTGGAAACATATGTAACGGATGCCGGTCAGTGGCACCTGTGAACTTTTGGCACTGTAGTTGCCTCTGGTCAATAGCTGTAAGTAATTGGCTCATTTAAAAACGTTTGCTGCTTGCAGCTTAATTTCATATGGTATAACACTTGTATCGTCGGCTCCAATCTGTGTTTTAATTGTTTGCCATCATTTCTGATCCGGCAGAGGTTTGATATGCTAAGTATTGCTCTGTGTCTGTTGTGCAGAAAGTGTGCAGCCTTATTTCATTAGACGTTTTATTTAAATGTGGAGAAGTGCAGTCAGTTCACATAGATTGCATATACATATTACATACAGAACCAGTCATTTATGTCTAGCTCTGTTTATTTCTCATCTTGCTGAAATACTCTGCCTCCATCATCATTTATCTGGGTTTCTATAGGGTTTCCCAGAGTGAGTGGAGACCGAGTGCTATGAATAGAGAGGGAGAATGAAATAGCCTGCTGTAATGTGAGGGTGAAATGAAGTGTTTTCTGATCTGAAATATGTTGATGTTTATTTTGTGGGTAGGTACATCTCATCTGCCTGTTAATGGTGTGATTCAGCTTGAGTAAGTGGATGGGAACTTCTAAAAGGGTCATTTATTTACAGAGACAAGAGACACTGCTGTGAGCCTGTCTGCCAGTTCTGACTAACTCGACTTGTTTCTTATTTCAGTATTTATTAGGGCTGCACGATAAATCGCATGCGATATATAACGCGCATCTTGTCAGTAAAGCCGCTTCTGTAATCAGCGGTAAATCTCCATCACGTGTGGGCTTTCACATGGAGCAGCATTAACTACACAGAGCCGTTGTTCACTGGCAAGCTGCGCAAAACCACGTTCATAATGGCGCGATTTTTTGCGCAGCTTGTCAGTGAACAACGGCTCTGTGTAGTTAATGCTGCTCCATGTGAAAGCCCACACGTGATGGAGATTTACCGCTGATTACAGAAGCGGCTTTACTGACAAGATGCGCATTAAATATCGCATGCGATTTATCGTGCAGCCCTAGTATTTATTCATGTTTTTCAGTTTTAAAGAATATTTTGTGTGATCCTTCTTTACATAAAGGGAGTCTTTGAGCTTTTCTGACGCCTCCTGACACTCGACTAATGTCACAAAGAAAGTAGTAGTCTCAGGCTTCAAACATATTACAGCAAGCTAAGGTAAATGGCTACTATTGGGATTGTTAGTTTCCTAGCAACAATCTTTTCCATGACTGACAGAAGCTCCAACCTTCAGGACAGAGTCCAGCCGAGTGTTTGCATTTAACGCAGCGGTGCAACTGTAATCTTTGTACAAAACCCATCAAAGCATCTTCTCAGCTGTTAATATGAAACAGAATTGAAGTGTGTGAACATGTGAAGTGCCGAGTTAGTGGCATGTGTCAAGTTACAGACCCACTTTAAATGGCCTGTTATTGTTGTAACCTCTGATGGTCATGCTGTACTGTCACATGATTATAACTGCCCGTCTTTAATCAAACACTCTTCCTGCTGTACAAAAGAAGAGGAGGTGTGTGAGGAACAGATCTAAAGTTAAATCGTCCCATGCACTACCTTTCAAAAATCTCTTCTGCTCACCAAGACTGCAAATATTTCATAAAATTACAGTACAAACAGTAATATTGTGAAATATTATTACAGTCAAGTAGTACAGTATAAATTGCAGCAGGCAAATAGCTGACTTTTGTAAATAAGGTGCTATCTATAATAAGATATTGTAGTTAGTAATGTAATTGGTAACACTTTAGTAGAATTTTATAGAACACATATTAATACCTTATTCTGCATGATCATATTCTACATCCCTTAATCCTACGCAATAGCTAAACTTAACAACTACCTTACTAACTATTAATAAGCAGCAAATTAGGAGTTTATTGAGGCAGAAGTCATAGTTAATAGTCGGTTAATAGTGAGAATTGGACCTTAAAATAAAGTGACCATGTAATCTGTCAGATTATTCAGTTTATGTAATGTATTCCTGACTAGCTTTTGATTACTTTTGGCCTAACGTGCTTATAACAGATTTGAATGTGATTGTTGTGTACCATATGAGCAAATTCAAACGAAATATAATCTAATTACAAGTACTTAAATTTTGGGATCTGATAACATAATCTAGATTACTACTGAGCACTGGGGACATTTACATTTGGTCACTTATTGATTGGACAGGTGCCTGTTCATTTATAAAAAAACAAGTAGAAATGCCCACCGAGATACCTTTGAGACGGATGGCATCACCATCACTTTGTTTTTTAGGAGCTCTGCCATGCATGCATGAGCGAGCAGTAATAGATGCATGCTTGGATGCAGTGACTGTAAAACACTAACTACCATAAACACTCACTAGCAGGAATAGTACATTGGATTTATATCTGTTGTATTGAGAAACATTTATGTGATCTTGTATAAACTGGAGTATGCATACCAAAACAGATGTCAATGCAATCGATCAAGATGCATGAATTGTCTTTAATTTTTTTGCTGTCATGCAAAAGAAACGATTTTTAACAAATGACATTTAGATAAAATCTATTGATTTTTCCTGCTTTTTATTTTCACAAATGTCAGGTGGCCACATTTGACACAGGTGTGCATTATGTGTCAGTGGTCAGTGTGTTTGTGCAGTGATGTTGAATGACTGCGGACTCTCCCACACATCAGTCTCTTACAGAAATGCGTTTCCACAGCTCAAACCTGTTCAGACTCTCACTACAGACACTTCATGCATTGTCAGGGCTGTGGGAGAGTTGTCATGCATGAAGGTTGATGGGATATATGTGTGTGTGTTGTAGTGATGGAGATGAGCTGAAGAAGTCTCTGTCTGAGCTGGCGGATAAGAACCATCACTCTCACACTAAGAGCATCAGTCGCATCAGCAGCAGCAGTAACCCGTTCCTGGACATTGCCCATGACCCCAACGCTGCTGTCTACAAAACTGGCTTCCTGGCCCGCAAAATCCACGCTGACATGGACGGGAAGAAAAGTAAGATTTAATCCAGAGTTCATTTGAAACATCTCCAATACAACACCTGCTCGTTTTGAGGGTAAAGTGTACATGATCCGGCAGCCACGCAGCATGATTTTGAAAATAAAAATACTGTGAAAAGTGTATTGTTTAAATTGATTTTTCAAACTAAAATACCATGATTTAAACTTTTTTTAATTCAAATTCAAAACATTGAACAGTTTTCAACTAAAGACTTCTTTTTAGCAGGTCAAGGTAATTCAAATGACTTTTACTTCTAGATTTTAGGAAGCATTTCAGTTTATTAATTATTTGTGTAATTAAATGTCTTTTTCATAAGCACTTTATGACTCTTCATAACCTAAGCTTCTGGGTGTGCAGGGAATGATGGGAAAGAACATTAAATAAATGCTGTGTAATGTGAACGAGGATAAAGCAGGTGTGATTCAGTGCTTTGGCCAAGCACACATGGTGAAATGGGATTTTGGCTGTAGTCTCTCATATATTATGTCCACTTATTTTTCCTCCCTAATGAGATTCTAGAGTCACTAGAAACCCGCTGAGCTGTTGTGTCTGTTTGAAGAGACGCACCGATTACAGCTCGTCCTGCAGAAGAATCTCAAAGACTGACAGTTGATATGATCAAAACTGATATATTAGGAAAGTTTAAAAGGATGCTTTCACGAACTATACATAGTTCTGTTTTGTGTTATAAACACTACCATGCAAAAGTTTTGGGTCAGTGAGATATTGAAAGAAATTAATACTTTTATTCAGAATGGATGCATTAAATTGCTCAAAAGTGGCAGTAAAGACATATGTAATGTTATAATTTTTATATATAATAATAATAATAATAATATAATAATCTTAAAAAAAAAATGTATCACAATTTCCACAAAAATATGAAGCAGCAAATGTTTTCAACATTGTTCAGAAATGTTTCTTGAGCAGCACATCAGCATATCAGAATGATTTCTGAAGGATTATGGGACACTGAAGACTGGAGTAATGATGCTGAAAATTCAGCTTTGATCACAGAAATTACAGGAATAAAATACATAGAAAACCAGATATTTTAAGTTGTTTTATTCCATGGTCTGTCTGAATACTGGATTTTGATTGGCTGGCAGGTATGCATTAGAACCGTTTAATGCACAGGTAGTTCCAAGTCGGTTTAATCACCGTTATATATTAATGCGCTGCTTTCATTGATGCACACACACACACACACACACCGCTCGCACATAAACACAGTGAGAGGGAGAGAGGTTGGAGATCGCAGATCGTGCTGCACACACACCGAAACTTATTGTCGGTGCTGCCCCGCGACTTTAATTAATAAAATAGTATAGATACTAGATCGCTTCATTATCTTCCTCAGCAACGAGCTAAAATCGAAGTAACTAAACGGCTTCATTGTTTGTAGAGAGATGCGCAGACACGGGTAACTCACACACACAACTGTCATCTCTCTCTCTCTCGATAGATCGATCGATAATTCATTCAAATAAATGTGGTATCTATATCTGATTTGAAGCGGGCAGAATGCTGGAGCTAACGAGCCATAACTGACGTCATTTTTACCCTTCTGGTTAAATATTGCGCTGCTAACATCATAAACAGCTTTAAGTTGTCAATGCTGGCAAATGACCATGGAATAAGCGGGATAATCAACGGCTTTCCGCTTCGCGTCGGGTGGTTCTTTGCCTTCACGTCGTGCATTTAAAATCCTTTAATGCACGGCAAGCCGTTGATTATCCCTTATATAATATTTTACAATTTTACTGTTTGTAACTGTATTTTTGATCAATAAATGCAGCCTTGGTGAGCAAGAGACTTCTTTAAAAAACATTTAAAAAATCTTACTGACTGCAAACTTTTGAACCGTTGTTCGAACACATCGAACAGGGTAAACTGAAGTGGTTACCTTCTACCCTCCCCTGCTTTGTGATTTTGTGATTTACTATCCAGCTGTGGCAGAAGATGTGCCAACATGAGTTTAGTAGACATGCCACACTGAGTCTCCACTACCAGCCGTGCCAGTGCGGTCTAATGAGCGTGTCCATGGGTGTATTACAGTTGGGATATAAACAGCAGGGCTTTAGTGATCTGCTGCATCACATGCTGAGAGCATTCAGGCCAGGGTCCCAGAGGAGCCATCAGCGCACTACTGAGAACTCAGTCTGTGTGGGGTGTGAAGGATTCGGATGCTTCCCAGAGCTCCTATAAGCACAGCCGTAAATAAAGCTGTTCTACAGAGACGCTATCAAGGGATTCATTTGACAGGAGAAATGTAAGTAATGCCCTTCAGAGGTGGAACAGACTGCTGAAATGATTGACGCTTTTTAACACGTACTGTCATTCCAAACGGAATGAATTTCAGACTTCAGTGGGAATCAAATGGAGATGTTTAGCAGGATGCTCATGTTGCTGTATCCCATACTGTGAAGTGAAAGGGGACAGATGCTGGTGAGCTCCATAAAGCACTACAAAAGTAGTCCATGCTGCATTTATGTGTGTGTTGATACCATAGACTGTATAAAAACATGGACGTAGTGTCCGTGACGTCACCCGTAGATTTCCGAAGAGCGTTTTTGAAGCTCAAAAGTAGGCGGAGCCAGCCGTCGCCACCTTGGCAGCGCGTCACCGCGCGTCACTCCCGGATAATCGAAAATGGGCAAAGAGGCGGGAGCAGGTTGCTGAAGCCACGCCTACCTAGCTCGACGGTGGTGACAGCAGCGGCAATCCACCTGTCACTCAAGTGGCCACGCCCTTAATTATGCAGAACTTTAAGGCTTAATATAATTTAAATGGATGAGTTATAAAAAAATTCACCCCCTCACAGTTGTCATGAAGGGCAAAATTAGCTATATAGACCAAAATCATTTTTTGAACCAGGCTGTAAACATGTTTTTTTCTGCTGTAAAGTTGGGCATTTTAACATGGGGAGTCTATGGGACTGACTCCCTTTTGCAGCCAGCCTCTAGCGGCCAGTCGATGAATTACAGTTTAAGTCACTTCCTTGTTGGCTTCACCAGAGAGAGCGGGAGGTTGCCGCTCGGTTGATACCGATTGTGGCTAGTATGTGATTTGACAGCTACAGTGATTAATAGTGCATTGCATCTTAAATTTGGGTATGCTCCTCACACAAAGCCTTCAGAAGACTTGGAATAAGTTATGATGCCTGTAATGATATGTTTTTATTTGTCCTTTTAACAGTCTTGGTCACTATGAACTGTTATTGAATGGAAAAGAGTAACATATGATAATTGCGAATAAATGATTGTATTGTATTTATTTTATTTGTATTCTCTAGCACCGAGAGGGAAACGTGGCTGGAAGACCTTCTATGCTGTTCTGAAAGGCATGATCCTCTATTTGCAGAAGGTTTGTTTATTCTCTCTTTCATTTTCCCCTCTCGCACTGCTGATTAATCAAATTTCCATCATTTCCCACAAACATCAATAATAATTCAGTTTCTCCTCCAGGAGGTTCAGATGTGAGACGTAATCACATTCACGCATTTATTTCAGGTCTGGCAAACCTTTTCAGAGCCCATCAAAGAAAGAAGCGTTTCAGCATTACAATAGTTTATTTATGTGCTCCATTTGAACTTGCGTTAGTTGCTTAGCTGTGCAGTCATGCAGAAGTCACAGGCATGAAATATTGGCGCAGAAGCAGGCCGTACCTGTGCATATATTTTTGTGCTGGTGACTGATTGTTTCCGTGGCATTAGAGCTAATGATGTGCCATTTACCCTTGTGCTACAATCACACCGAACGACTCTCATCAGAGAAATGTGCTGGATAGCATTCTCATTCTCATTCTCATTTCACACAGACCTTTTACTTTGGAGGAAAAGAGCACACTGAAGTGCAAACTTGTTTTCTGACTCTTAATTGCATGTTAATTGCAATTAAATGAAAATGTATTGTAGTTTAAATATTAAAATTGTCTGAACTTCAAAGTGCTTTTTGAACCACGTAAATACTTTAAATCTTCACATGTAATTTCATAATTACTTGTATTGTCTTTGAAATATAGTTCAAGTATACTGTGGACTGTACTGACAAGCATTTATAAAAAACTAGAATAAACTTTAATATAATTTCTGTTGACACTTGTATGTCATGTATTTAAATATATTGGTAATTACACATTTGTAATGAAGTTGAAATTTTAAATATATTAGCTTTAAATGCAATACCAAATTACACTACAGTTAAAATTATAGAATCAATTACTTTAGTACCTTACTCACCATATAAATATAAATGTAATTCTTCAAAACATGACAAAAGAATGTTAAAACAAAATAGCTATGTCCCAAATGACGTACTATACACTGTGCACTTATACACTGTCTACCAGGTAGTGTATGAATTATATAAGGTTATTTTGTGATTCATAATTGGAGTCTGGTAGCCCCTCCCCCTCCACTACGCAATAAAAGCTGTGACAGTTTTGAAGTGTCCAACACTCCACACTTAGTTTTTTCGGTTATTTAAGTGCATCATCCGGGTATTTAAAGTGCACTTTCTCTTTTTGGAATTTTCTATGAGAACGCACTACTCGCACTATTTATACGAAACGGCATAGCATAGTGCAAACCCAGCGACTTAAGACTGCTTTTGTGCTCCAGGGTCACATATGTTAAATTCCTTGGATTCCCATCCCTGTCCGTGTTCATCATTTGTCCTGTGTGTGCTTGCTCCTGCAGGATGAGTATAAGCCGGAGAAGGCCCTGTCAGAGGACGACCTGAAGAACGCCATCAGCGTGCATCATGCTCTCGCCATCAAGGCGATGGACTACGAGAAGAAGCCCAATGTTCTCAAACTCAAGACTGCTGACTGGAGAGTGTTCCTCTTCCAGGCCCAGTAAGAGCTGCTCGCAGTCACCAGCGCTTTCAGAAACAGACCTGAAACTCTGAACTCCAAATCTAATTTCATGCTTCAGTTCAGGCTCAATTAAACCTCGTTTATCTCTTCCGTTGGTCTGCCTGCAGACCTTTTATTTCTTCGTAAGGCTGACTGCTCTCATCCTGTGAGTTTGCACGACTGTAGCGTGGTCTTCTTCATACAGGGTGTCTGCGGGTCCTTAAAAAGTCTTAAAATGTCTTAAATAACGTTTTCCTAATATAAGGCCTTAAAAAGTCTTAAAATGTCTTAAATTCGGATTCGATGGGTCTTAAATATTTTTGGTCTCATTACCGCTAAAATATCTTAAGTCTGACGGACCTAATGACTGTTTACAATCATTGGACAGACCGAAGATTTTTTCTTCCCCGCGGTAAGTTACTGCGTCATCACAGAGAATTGCAGTAAGTTAGCAGAATACAGAATACAAGCTCGCGCTGAAGCTCACTCTGTTTGTCTCGAGACTTCAGGACAAATGAGCGTGACAGCACACATAAATTTTTTCGGTTATTTAAGTGCATCATCCGGGTATTTAAAGTGCACTTTCTCTTTTTGGAATTTTCTATGAGAACGCACTACTCGCACTATTTATACGAAACGGCATAGCATAGTGCAAAAGTACACAAATTAGGACACGCCTTTAGATTTAAAATGTACTTTAAGGTAAAATATCGCTCGGCTTGGTGGTGTTTGGCATCCACATGCCATAAAGAAACAGTATTTGATTCTAATTCAACGCAGTGATGCAATAATTCAGTGATCTCATTGATGATATAAAAACCAATAATAAACATCACAACTTTCTATTGTGTTGTCTCTGCAAAAGGCATGACGTTTTCAGATGTGATAAAAGAATCTGTAGGAATCTGAACCAGATTTGTGACCCTGGACCACAAAACCAGTCATAAGGGTCAATTTTTTTAAATTGAGGTTTATACATCATCTGAAAGCTGAATAAATAAGCTTTCCATTGATGTATGGTTTGTTAGGATCGGACAATATTTGGCCGAGACACAACTATTTGAAAATCTGGAATCTTCTTTCACTGCATGATTCAGTCTATTAAAATATATTCAGAATGATCACAAATTCAAGACATGGGGGCAGAAAATGTGTATATTTATACCACTTCGTATAGTTAATCAAGTTCAAACGGAAGAGTGCCTTTTTTTTTCAAAAATTACCATATACAAATATGATATTGATTTTTTACAACAGTTCAATAAACTA